TGGCATCTTAAAAGGCACTCTTCTTTAAACTTTCTAATTTCTAGGCGCCCCGACCATTTTTCGGTCCTTTCTATTCGTACTCGAACATCCTGCATACGGTTCACTAGAATACTACATATCTTACCTTCTCTTGAAGTTATAGGCCTACCTAGAAAGCAAGGCACGGCCGCTACAGTCCAAATGCAGAATCCACAATAATCGTGTTAATGTAACGCCTCTGGCCTATAACCTAACAAAATGTGGGATTGTAATGTAAATTATGACTTTACGGCAGCCAGTCTGAAATAATAAAATAGTCTGTTATTGCATTTGAAATCGCAGGGTATATTGTACCATAAGAGGACGATTTAAACTGATGTAAAAGTTCAGTAAGTTACAGATACGAATCGTATATAACGTGGGATGACCGCTCAGTAGTGAAGTATGGAGATATGTGAATGCGAGCACATCTTTGCGTCTGATCCAGAAGTCGAATCTTTGATGAATATGGTTGTCAACTTTCCAGAGTCTGTCTTCTCTTTGTTCATGCCCAGTCTGTATCTTGCACGAGTAATCCATATCGTTTTACTATAGGATTCTGACGATGGTGTATAACACACTGATATATTGAGTTTTTGGACTTTATCCATCGTCCTGGTTTCTAAGATAACTAATAAAAACACGACGTTTCGGAAACTGGATCTGTTTCCGTCCTCAGGTGAAGGAAAACACCTATTCTGTTGGGTCCCTTAGAAAGAGCTAGCCTCAGTCACTGGACGAATCCAGTGAATCCAGAATAGGTGTTTTCCTTCACCTGAGGACGGAAACAGATCCAGTTTCCGAAACGTCGTGTTTTTATTAGTTATCTTAGAAACCAGGACGATGGATAAAGTCCAAAAACTCAATATATCAGCCATATCGTTTGGCTTCACACTATAGAGTGTATACATGACATATGATATTGTTTATGTCCATGATTTATTCTGACCGTCTTACAGTGCATACATTTATTCACCTTACTCTTCTCTCTTGCACTACATGTTTCAGCACTAAAGTGCCATCTTCAGGTGCTTTTTCGATGTACGTCGAACTACTGCATTGCATGCCCTGTTTCTTGTCTTTATACTAAAATAACTAAAATATATATTCGTCATATATATTGCTAAATTTTAAATATTAAAAATATTAAAACTGTTCAGGATTTGTCATCCTTATGTCATATCTCAGTACGCGAGTCACACCTATCTTCTTCTGTCGGAGTATTTAAGCAGAATATTTAGCTTAACACTGAATTCTAAATGGTGACGTTTGACTTTGCCGACCTTACAGGGCTCAGGCTTGGACAGCCGAAGTAAAGCATTGTTTTAGCCCTTTCAGTAACAGTCTGTGTTTTCTGGGTTCATCTTCAGAATCGCAGTTCTTTTCATGCTAGTCACAGTCTAAGGCGCTTACGGCCTTGGGACCCACGAACACTGAGATTGCGGGTTTGAATTTGGCCATGTACGAATTTATGTCCACATTTCTATCCTACGTATATGTTGTCATGAGCTGCTAGAGGCCTTTGGATAGGTCAGTGGTTGGTAATTGGACTTGCTTGGAAACCAGCTTCTATTTCGAAGTGATTACGAACCTGAGACCTTCGTGAGGAAAGGTCTGTTAAAATACTGTTAAGTCGCTGTCAGTTTTTCGCATAAGTATACCATAATACACAAAAATTTCATTATTAATAATTCATTCGAATGGGATATCTAGTCTGTAGCTAGTGTTCTCAAAGCTTTAATGCAATCTTTAAAATCGAGTAGGATCTAGACTTAAATAAAAATTGTAAGCGACTGGCTATGGGTTGGACGGCCGAAGCTTCGGAGATCTAGCACCGGTGCCTTTTCCCCCGGGGGGTAATGCGGCCCGGGCGTGAAGCTGACCACTCATCTCCAGCTAGTGCCGAGGTCAAGAAACTATGGATCTATACATCCACTCCCCCATACGTCTTCATGGATTAGTTCTTAATTCGTTGAGCACAGGGACAACTTTGACTCTTTCCCTTTACTACTTTGTCCCTCTAAAGGCTTATGGGAAGGCGACGCAAAGCGGACAACTTAGCGTTAAAGTCGTAATGCTACGCGTAACAAACGAATGCTAACATCTTCATTACGTGTGTTAGACTAACGTACTCCACAGTGACTATTCCCGCGACAGCTCATTGTATTTGAGGAGTGTCTAGGTACCGCAAGTTACAGTAACTGAAATGTGATGCCATCAGTCGTGGTTTCGCCTGTTTCGCTTTTCCCGGGGTATTCTTTTCGCCCGGACTTCATCTATACCGTAACGCTGAAAGTTTGTCCAAGAGTATTTTTCAGTCAATAATAAAAACAATTTGCTGAAAAGACAGGAAGAACAGTTGAGATATCAATATTATACGTCGATAGTTCAATAATTATTTTGCGACCCTCGGCCAACTACTGTGTTATAATTACCGTATTTACGCATGTATATGCCGCACATTTTTTGCCAAAAATTCAAGAGGGTGCGGCTTATATTCGAAATATTCGAAATCACACTTCATTAAAAAAAAATTATATTCATAATTATTTCGGAATAATTTCTACTCCTGAAATAATATCCCAAGAAAATTATTTTTTCNTTCTCGCTGTCTCTTCGCTTGCGGATTTTCTTATTTTTCCTTCTGCCTTGAAGATGGAGGCGATACGTTCCTCCGAAACGTCGGTTAACACATCTACACGGTGCCACATCCCAGAAGACTGGTTTCTTCATAAGTGTAGTAGCTTCCACAGACAAGCCGGTTCTTGAACCGAAGTCCTCTTTGTCAGGTTTGTATGCTGGCCAAAGTACGTGTACCAATTTCGTAGTCCGGAAATAAATGTCACGTGGACGTAATCGCAGTCTGCATACTTTACAGACGTGCCGCATTTTTATTATTATTGACTTAAGTGGATGTTCAATAGGTTACTCTATTACGTATCACAGCTTCGGCATTCCTTTCTCTTCTGTTATGGCGAATCTCATGCAGGTAGCTTTTTATGTTTCATGCGACCGTACTGATTGCTCTTCTCATATTTATCGTGCCAGTGACAAGCATAATTGCCCCGCTTGCCCAGGAAAAACGTACTTCAGGCGTGTGGAATGTTAGTGATAAAAAGGAAACATTGTTTATTTTTCCGTAGGTATGTTAAAGTGTAATTTAAACTTTATTTAATGGTTGCGCAGCTGAAATGTCTGTTGTTTTAATCATTTATATTCTCTTATAAAACTGTAACAAGAAATTTCTCTAGATCCGCATTTAAGTCTTGTTTCTTATTAAGGAAACTCGTATTTTATGCAGCAAAACTCTCATTTGTCTTCCTGCTGATGGTTTATGAAAGCGTGGTGAAATAGGAAAGAACATAACGGAAACCACAGCGCTTTCCAACCATAACACCTCAGTCTGGATACATGTAAGTGTGAAATTAGGCCGCGCAATAGCTCAAACGGTTAGTAGCTGGCTTCCCACCGCGGCGGCCCGGGTTCGATCCCGGGTATGGGTTAGGTGGGATTTGTGGTGGACAAAGTAGCGCTGGGGTAGGTTTACTTCGAGTACTTCGGTTTCCCCAGCCAATCCTCATTCCACCAAATTCACCATCATCATAATCACCCATGGCAGGCTACAATAAGCCAGTCAGTGGCCGCCGTGCCGAGTGGGCCCAGCTGGACTCCACCCCCCACTAAGCGAATTAAAAAAAAGTGTGAAATTCATACAACAGTGTTTAAAATAGGGTAATTCGGTTGTACAAATTGTGAGCAACTGTAATACACATGAGTTGTGCACACTTGCCTGGAAGAATAAGTACGCCAGCGTAATGTTCTCGAGTGGGGTTGAGTCCGGCCCTCCTGAAAACTGTGGAGAATCTTACTACAGAGGTTTGAGCCACATAAACGGTGTTGCCCGTACTTCGTGATATGCCAATTGGTCAGTCCATTTGTGAAATAAAATGATCTGATAACGTAGGTCAAGATGCGGATCATTCATATGATAATACAAAACTATTAAGACCAAGAAGAAAATGTTCCACGGACATATTTAATGATCATGTATATTTTTTACCATTAGGTCCATGTAAAATTATGTAATAATGAAGACAACGTTTTAATTACTGTTTTTAATCTTACATACATTGCTGTTCATTCTGCTCATGCGTATATGTACCATGTGGATGTCGGCAAGTCTTGCCAACGTTTCGGAGGTACATGCAACCTCCATCTTCAGGGTGGAAGTAAGTGGGGTGGGAGGTCATATTTATATGGGTTTTATATAGATATTAACATTCATTCATAGCGACCTCCGTAGTCTAGGGGTAACGTTCCCACCTCATGACTCAAGGTACGCGGCTTCAAACCCGGCGGAGGTCGTGGAATTTTTAAGGGCGGAAAAATTCAGAGAACAAGTCCTCCGGGACCTCTGAGCAATATTATTAGGCAAGTTTCCCGCCCAAGTAGTTTCCAATGCCTCTGGTAGATGGGGGAAGTATCGAGGTACCGACGGCCGACCTCATTGGCTGAACGGGGCTGATAGCACGCACCGGTACCGTTAGGGTATGGCGACAGTAGAAATCAAAGGGGGACGCACAATAGACCAATAACTGGTCTAAGTGCATGGGGAAACCCACCCCCTCTAATAATAATAACATTCATTCACACTACTTACTTCCACCCAGAAAACGGAAACGGTATGTACCTTCGAATCGTCGGCAGTGCTGTCCCCATCAACATGATGCAACGACCCAAGAGCAAAATCAACATCAACATTTTAATTGCTGACATTTAACACCATTGAAATTCTTCTACGTTAATGAAGTCACATTAACAGTGTTTCGGAGAGCAGATGTACGTTTTCCATTAATTGAAACGCACTTGCAGGCATTTAGGTTCCTGAGTTTATCGCTGTTGAACATCCGGTAGTCCCACTTTAAGTACGGACACAGTATACCCGAGAGGTGTGTAATCACACTGTGGAGGGACTGTTGCAGGTGGGTGGTGCTAACGATGTCCTGGTTTCTGGCCGCTGCTCTTCGATGGACTCATGAACGAATCCAGCAACATTCGTCGCTATTCCACCTAGCGGGCTGGGGCCTTCCTGCTGCGCAAACCATCGCAGTGCTCGTCCTACAAGACGTCGACGCCGATGAACTGACAGGTAAGGATCTCTGCCCCTGATCCTGGACAGTGGTGTCTAATGAGTTAGTTAACTGGTCTCGTGATCCTCTCAAACTCTCCTTTGTAGAACAGTGATGGGAAATATTATCTGATAAAGTGATTGCAGCGTAAGTTTGAATCTTGAGTAAAGGAATGATTGCGGATTATGTGTTAACACTTCTTATTCATTGAAGTATCTTTGTTACCAGTTTGGAGTTACATGACATTTTACTTAAGCTTGATATAAAAAAGGCATATTCACTGGCTTCGCATTTCATAGGGCATTATGGGCTTCTGGGTTCGGATACCACGTAATCTTGTAGGTGGGTACAAGCCTTACTGATTAACCTGCTGTCTCCATCTTGAGGGTTGGTACCAACCTCTGTGGTGTCATAACTCGTAACTCAGAAAACCGTAATATGAACCATTATTGCCATGAAATCCTCAAATCCTATGGCATGCTTATTAGACCCACGGGATTACATAACACAGGACTGTGTTTCTGAAACAAGCTCTTATTTATTAACATGTTAATTTGCCGATTTTTAAAGAATTTCAGGTGAGTATTTTACTTCCAGCATGCTTACTGCTGATACAGAATTTAACTCCTAAAAGAAGTATGCTAATTCAATCCTCATTTCATATTTAAAAATTATTATGGTAGTTTTTTACAGCCCCCATAACCATGCATAAAGTAGATTACAATTTTGCTTGTCTCAGAAGCTCCACCCACCCTGATTTTATCACGAACTGTATTGTATGAAATGATTTTATATTGTGAGATTAAGGAATACAGACAGCTATGCACCAGTTCAGGTGCCCCTAACTATTCTCATGAGGCCGCACCATAGCTCAAGCAGATAGTCGCTTGCTTCCTACCGCGGCGGCCCGGGTTCGATCCCGGGGTCTGGTCAAGTGGGATTTGTGGTGGACAAAGT